GAGAGAGAGAGAGAGAGAGAGAGAGAAGTGAATATCAAAAGTAAAATTATAATTATCTCAAGGTCTTTGTTAATTTTAATATCTCTCTCTCTCTCTCTCTCTCTCTCTCTCTCTCTCTCGCACACACACATACACAATCCCTCCCTAATTATACTAATTAACGGTATACTAATTTTACTTACTCTCAAAACTTGCGAACTCCTTACTCCTGATGACTTTTGCCGACAAAACACTGTAGTCCATGGAGTACTGCAACAGATCCGGGACATCGATATTCTTCTCAGTCCTCTCTCTAATCACACGTCTTATGGATTCAGAGATAATCTCTTGACTCTTGGCATCAAAAAATTTAATCTTAACAAAGTTACGCATAAATGGCATGAAAAGCACTATCCAATTCCATATATTCTGATCCCTTTGAAACGTTTTCTTAACAGCCGTTAAAAACGGATTATTGGACGGATTATCGATGGCATCGGTATGTACGCCGGCGGCCGCCCGCGTGATCACATCAAAGGTAAAGGAATCGTAATATTGCCGGAAGTCTACGATTTGCTGATCACTGGCTTTCGGGTCTAATTTGGCGATCAATTGGTCCATAGTTTTCTCGATCATCGGTTTCATTGCCTTTAGTTTTCCCGTTGAAAACGATGGCGAATGTATGGCTCGGATCCGTTTCCAGTTGGGATACCTCGAGAGGAACAGGCCATTGTTAATGAGCTCGTTCTCATCGGCCAGCTCCTGTTCCCCATCCAAACACATTGTAATGTAATTTTAATTTAAAGTCATTATAATTATTTTATTTTGTTTAACTTCTAAGTTATTATAATATTGTTATTTTTATTGAGCTTTTTAGAAACATTGATAAAATATACAAGGATAGTCTGTGTAAACGTAACCTAACATATTGTATATTGTATGTAAAGTTGCATTGCTAACCAAACCTTATGCTTGTGTATTCAAATCTAACCTAACATACAGTCTAGCAAACCTAGCCTAACCTAACTTAATCCGATATAGGAATTAAATTAATAAATGCTTTATTAAAAAACCATAAATCTGACCTAACTAATGTTTTATATAAATCTCTTTATTTATTTAATATTTTATTTTAATAAACAGTATTTCTGCTAGATAACTTACTCTATGGTTCGCAAAAGTATGAAACTCTGTGACCAATACTTTACGGATTAGATTGGGATCAGTTATGGACAAACATGGTTTCAAACCCTCGTAATAGCTATAAAAAATTTAAATGTCACGTACAGTATAATATAAATATATTAAAAATTATTTAAATACCCGACAATTTTGCCGTATTTTCTATGCGACTCATTATCGGTCACATGAAACGGTAGTCCACTTTTGGATGACAGGTCGTTGGGTATACCCTGGCGTTTCCAAAATGTCCATTTGTGGTACAAAAATGCTAAAATTACCAATATAACTACAATCATAGAAAGTAGCAACAAATACATTGCGTTCAAATATTAATACACTATTACAATAGACAATTGTAAATATCCTTGGTACAATGGTAAATAGAGTATAATTAGATATAAAAGTGCAAATTATTTGAAAAAAATCAAAGGGTTAACTCAAAAAAAGGATATTTATAAACAAATAAACAAGACCAATTGTTAAACAATTGAATTAATAGATTTGTATTAAAGTCGTACGATATTGTGTCCTGGTATTTATACATTTAGCTATTATAATGGGATTGAATTAAATTGGTTAAACATTAATAGTTAAACATAATAATTCTAGTAATAATAGTTTGTGTATACTTAGAAAATATATGCTTATTAATTTAGTTTGAATAAGTGGTTTACCAAGTAAATTTCAGCACTAATAGCTACACTTTTATTCTCTGAATTGTTTATTTTTATTTCATATTAATTTGTATCGTACGATTTACATTTAGGGTTACCATGATGTTTCCCGAGATTGGAGGACAGATGGTAAAATGAGACATTTATCAGGATGACTTTTGAAGGACAAAATAGTATTATGAGTCTTCCAATAAGTAGGGAGACCTTTAAATTTTCCTACGAATTGAACATTTTCATATGAAATTGAATTAAATTACAGTATTTCTTCTATTTATTTATATGGAAATGTTGAAAAAGGAATATATTTCTTGTCACCTAATACAATTAAAATTATACTTGGTCAAAATCCTACGTTCTGCAAAATTACTGAACTTATTTTTATTAGGATAATGACTTATAAAATATATTAAACTAAAAAGTTCAACTCTGTTTAAGTGTATGAATATACTAGATAAATTATAATTACTAGTTTAATGTCACAATGAAATGAGGTTAGCCATAATTTATGAATTAAAATATGGATTATAAAGGTATTTATTATAGATTATATACTGTTCTCCAGAATGGAGGACGTCTGGCAACGTTATTTACATCCTATAAATTAATACAGTATGATAATTACCTTGATTTATTTGAATTTTATTATTCAGTATAATTTATTTTAATTAAATACCCTTTTAAAAATATGTTTGAATTTAGCTAGTATGACATATAAAATTAATTAAACCTAATTTTTAAAAAATAATCCTAGAAAATTGTTTTTAAATTAGCAATAATTTTTGTATATTTAGAAACCTTATAACGTAATCTAAAATTTATACTTAATGACAACGTTTACAAGTATTTTGACAACNAATTTTTGTATATTTAGAAACCTTATAACGTAATCTAAAATTTATACTTAATGACAACGTTTACAAGTATTTTGACAACACTTGTCATTTTAATAATAAGCATTATTCCTGTGAACTAATAATACTATGAATTATTATATTTGTTAACATGTGTTAATCTTAAATTTATAATGATGTACAAAATATGTCAATGATAATGCAGTATAATCAGTATAATTGAGAACGCAATTAAGGTTTACATTATTCTACCTTGCTTCTATGAATTTATATCAACAATGGCCTGCATATAACTATTATACACAGTAATAAATTATAAGTTATTGATAATCGTGTACCTGTATATATCTTGTTTAATTATCGTATATCTAG